GTCACCCCTTTGTAAAATCAAAAATATAAGTGTTTACTTGACATCCATGTTATTTTTTTTCTGATTATAGCGCTTATTCAAAAGAAAAAGCAAATATTTATCCTAGATGAAGGAGGTAAGTCCACATACCCCCTTCATTTTGGCATAGACATAATTTCTAACACAAAAAAGTTTTTGGATAAAAGAGGTAAGTACAAATATATATTTTTCAAATAAGTTTTTAAAAATCGGGGAGATTTTTGTTTTTACAATAAAATTTATACATATCCTACCTGTGAGAATAAAAAAAAAACGGTTTAAAAAATCTATTAATAAAAAAGTTCCAGCAATAAAACTTTGGAGTTAAATTTCTCAAAAACTTACTTTTGTTACTTACTCCCTTCATCCACTCACCCCTTCAATTATGTATATCCTTTCTATATTCTATGTATTATAGTCATTTTAAAATTGAATTGAATATGTGTTAAAAAAGTCAATAATAATTCATATCTATATTAAATAAACCATATCTTTTGTGAGTATATATATATATATATATATATATATATATATATATATATATATATAATGAATATATAATCTGGACTTTTTAAGCATCTTCAATATCACGATAGAGATGCCATTAATATCAGTTTAAGGACTTGCTTATACAATAACAATTTGTTGTAAGTAAATAGGCACAGTGAATTTTTCCCCATCAACCAGTACATCTTTCTAAACTTAATTTCTATTTATTCCTTTTTTTCTTAATACATATGTATGCACTTTCCAGCGTAGCATTGACGTCATATGATGCTCTAATGTCATAGCCAAATATTTTGCCGTATTTGAATAGGGTACTAGTCCAGGCTGTGAGGCCGCTCCCGTTGGGAAAATGTTTCTGATTCGGTTTCTTCGCGGATTCCGGTTCAAAAATGTCCCCTTTAAACAAATCTGAAGGGTGCCGGGCGAAATTTTTGGGCAGAAATTGCTTAAACAATTTTTTTAAACAAATTCCAAAAATATTTTTTTTTTATCTGGAAAACGTTTTTTTTTTAGGTTTTTTGTGCCATTTTAAACAAAAAAAGTCTCTTGTCATTGTTCTCTAAAGTTGATAGTTTTCGAGTTATAAGCGATTTAAAGTCTGAAAAAAGCGAAAATACGCATTTTTGAGGCTTGAAAACACATATGTAAATTATTATTTTTGAGGTTACCAAGTCTCTAAATTGAAGTTTAAACTTTCAACTTCAAGATTGTGAAGAGTAATCGGGGCTTATTTTAATTTAGACCGTTGTTTTTTAATTGTTAAATATGCGCGTACACTCGATTTTTCAGCCGCCGCGGCGCGGCGCGCTAGAGTGCGCTTCTATCGTACTTATGCATAGTTTACATATACACTTACGCAAAAAAACCCGAACAAATCCTTGAAGTTTATTAACATAGTTTTTTCCATAATTTATTTATGTAGGTATTAATTATTGTCATTGGGCTAATTAAATAAATCAATCATCGCAATGTAATAACCGTATATAGTTTTTTTTTTCTTCCAAATTTGAACAATATAATTATTATTTATTGAGTATATATTTATTTATATCATTTGTAAATAATATTTTTAAATTATTATTTAAATAATACAATGCAGTAAATATTAATATTAGTAAACTTAATTTTAAATTGCGCGGTGTTTAAAAACAATATACTATCGCAAAAATGCAAGTTTTTAACTGTTTAACAATCGACGATCATTTGGAAGACTATTGTTTAATGCCCATTAAAAGGGTATTATATTATTAATGTGTTATTAAAAAAATTGTGAATGGATTTAAAATGTCTTTTTCCGTACCTCTTCTTAAATGAAAACTTACCGAAGAAAATTTAGTTTGTATTTTTTGTAATAACATCAACAATATTAAGTTAGTGCAAAAACCTAAAGTAGATTTTTACATAACAATACAAAATGCTGCTCGTCGATGAAAAGACAGTATGACTGAAAAATTTAATTTAATCTAACCAATATACCTTGTACCTCTGACGCACTTTACCAACACTTGTTAAGAGCTTTCGCTAAAACATATATTTGGCGAAATACCATATATTCCCGCTATCAAACTCTCGATTTTACACAATATGGATATTATATGTCTGATAGTGGTGGGTTGGGAAACCGTGCAAATGCAAAAAGAATTGCAAAACTAATGCTTGCAACTGCAAGAAAAAGCATGTCAACTGTGTACCATTATGTGGATGTGATTTAGATTTTTGTGAAAACAAAGATACTTTTACTGAGTGATATTAGTGTGTTATTTAACAATCTTTTGTACAATTATTTTATGTAAGTATTATTAGACTTTAGAGGAAATTTATATTATAACTCAATTGATATAAATAAATATATACTCAATAAATAATTATTTGTAAGTATATGTAAACTATGCATAAGTACGATAGAGGCGCACGGTAGCGCGCGGCGCCGCGGCGGCTGAAAAATCGACTGTACGCGCATACTTAACAATTAAAAAACAACGGTCTAAATTAAAATAAGCCCCGATTACTCTTCACAATCTTGAAGTTGAATGTTTAAACTTCAATTTAGACACTTGGTAACAATGGCCCAAAAAACCTAAAAAACGTTTTCCAGATTAAAAAAAAATTATTTTTGGACTTTGTTTAAAAAAATTGTTTAAACAATTTCTGCCCAAAAATTTCGCCCGGCACCCTTCAGATTTGTTTAAAGGGGACATTTTTGAACCGGAATCCGCGAAGAAACCGAATCAGAAACATTTTCCCAACGGGAGCGGCCTCACAGCCTGGACTATACCTATTTATATTGACTGGAATGTGTTGTTCTCTTTTGTTAGAAAAATTGACATTAACAGATTTTGCTTCATTCAGCATAATTTCAATTTCAACATAATTTGTTCAACAGCATTTTGTAGCATGGTTGCTGCTTCCTCATGGTTTTTTACGACTGCGGTTCCGACATGGTTCTTACTATCGAATGTGTATCCATGCCTGTCCAGTCTCTTATATTCTTCAGTCAGGAGCATTTTCTTCGTCCGAACATCTTTGTCCTTCTACTCTCCCTTCCATTATGAGTTGTAGAAAGTTATATTTTTCTCCTCAGTACATATGTCCTAGATAACTCGTTTTTCTGTTGTTTATAATATTTAGGAGTTCCCTCTCTGTCCACATTCTTCTCAGCTCCTCGTTGTTGGTCACATGCTCTGACCATGAGATCTTCAGCATCCTTTGAAAAACACACAGTTCAAAGGCTTCTACATGTCTCATACTTGTGATTCCTAGAGTCCAGGTTTCCACTCCATATAGCAATATGCAATAAATGAATGTTTTTACAAATTGATTTCGGATATCCAACGATAAGATAGAGTTTATTAGGAATGTTTAATAAATTCATTAATGTTTACACTTACATTGAATTATTGTATTTAAATTCCTTGTCTTTAAAATACCTAGTTTAAATTGACTGTCCTTGATTTTTCAGTATTTATATTTTAATAGTTTTCCTTTGGTTTGGAAAGTAATGCTAAGTATAGTCTATCGATGATAACTATTACTAATATTTCAGATAGAAACACCTCTCTACAACACAATTTGTTGGCGGCAGTTCAAGATATAATTCTTGTGTAACAAGATTTTTCATATGTTTAGGAAAAATATTCAACATTTTATTGCAAATATTTTCCACTTTTACAGTTTTATATATGTTGTTAATAAAATTGTGTCCGGTTTCTTACCAGTAGCTTTATTATACACCAGAACATATTATTTTTTCCTATTGTGCTAAACTATACATTCAAAAATTTTCAAAAAATTCATAAGTATTTCTTAGGATTATATCTTTATGCTCTAAGAAAATTAACAAAATTCTGTTCAGTTTTCCCGCTTTATACTTGGAAAAAAGTAGTTTTAAGTTTTGTCAAGATTTTCTAGTTTTCAAGATACTTCTAGTGATAACATATACCTTCTCAAATTTTTTGAATGTGTAGTTTGTCTTTTGGGTGCAGATCAACATTAATGCAAGCTTTTACTTTTAATGCAAACTTTATTATGAAAAAAACTTTTTTTTTTAATATTTTACATGTTTTAAATTGAGAAAACTTTATCTACTTTAAAACAAATTATTGTCTATTAATAGAAACTATGTATCATGACATTGTTTTACATCTATATTTTACTTAACATTAGGATTTGAAAATTATAAATAATTTTTTTCTGTGATGATTTAAAATATTTTTATTTAAAATACCTTTCTACCATTTAGAGAAGGACCACTCTCATAGACAAAGAGGGTATACCAACTGACAAGGAAATAGCAAAATATTCAGACAGTTCAATATTAGACTTAGTTCATGAAGAATTTAGTGAACATGAAACTGACACTGAAATTTAAAGAGATAAAGAAATTGATGTAGAAATACCTGACAATAAAAGAGATGTTTATAATGCAAAAGATGGATGCAAATTGACAAAATTAGGTTTTGCTTGCAATATTCACACTAGAAGAGAGCTTGCAATATTGACCTGGGCCTGCTGAGAATAAAAAAATTGCAAGAATTGATCTATTGACATGTGGAGTCTATTATTTGGTTATATTTTGAATAATCTGGTAAGACAGAAATTTTTACATTCACAAAATAACAGCTGGTTATCAGAATCATTGTTCTATAGTCAATAGAAATGAACAGCATTCTACACCTAGTTTATATTGCTGGTACTCAATGAGCAGCAAGACAGTTTTTACAGACTTTAAAGAAGACTAGATTAGACTTCTGATTGGGAGCTTAAAATATAGGATTCTATTGTATAGATTTCTTTATTTTAGGATTTTTCTTAACTTTTCCACATTTACAACTGGCACAGATTCAAATTATATGATGCCAGAGATATTTCTACAAAAATGTAATGTCTGAATTGCTACAACCAGCTGCTAATGAATACTAATTATTGAACTACACACAAGTAATATCCAGCTAATATAATAACTAATAAATACTTACATCAGCATTATCTTCACTACTTCTTTGAGTATTGGTATGTTTTCCAGACTTTTTCTTCTTCTTTTTCTTTTTTCTTTTGATCTCATGATGCTCTCCTTCACAAGATTTTGCTGCTTCTGTTTCATTGTCATCCTCTTTGACTTCACTCTCAGAATGAGATTGCTGATTTAGCTAATAAAAAACAAAATACAGTTGAAGTAACCACATCACAATTATACAATTATATTACAGAATATTAGAATGTTGAAAACATAATCAGAAAACACTAAAATAATGCCTTATAATAAATATATGCCTTGAGAAGATACAATGGATCATTTTTTACAAATCCTAGAGAATTATTAAAAAGTTAAAGATCTGGACCTAAGTAAATACAAATAATAGGTATAAAAATTAAACACAAAATAATTAGTAGATGGCATAAATACACAAAAACATCCACAAGAGTTTTTAAAGTCATGTAGGACCAAGATACAGATATAAGAAAATCAGGAAATGTTTCCATTAAACCTGAACATAAATAATGTATGAACTTGTAACAATTAAGTAGATAACCATGCAAATATTGCATAAAATATAGCAATTAAAATGCATGTTGCAGTAATTTTAAAGCCTTCAAAGGTTTTGTTGAACTTTAACCACATAATCCTGAAGAGATAAAGTTGAAAATATTTAATGTCGTTATTTTTATTGAAAACATCTACAAATATTTATTTTAAAAATTTTTCAATTGTACCTGTGGGTAAAAAATTTGTCCTAACTACCTTCAGTCATTTTGGTTAAATGTAATTGAGCAAACAACGTGTTATTTTCACAATTTTGCACATGCGACTTTTTATTAATTAAACTAAACAGGACAACTCACCAAATCATAGCGATTAATATTTAGCTGCTTTCTTCTAGCTCCACCACTTACTGGTGTGTCAGTTTCTGTGTCCGAAATTTCTTCGGCGAGCTCTTTCTCTTTATCACCTTGTAGTTTTCGCAACACTCTCGACGACATTATAATCGCAGTAATTGTTTTATCTTGATTCAACAATTTTAATATAGTTAAATTACAATTTATTAATCAACCCCTTCTACATTTTGTTTTGACGTTTACACGATTGACTACTGAAATGCCGCAATTTGACAGAACTATGACAGAACCATGACAGAACCCAGCCGATGAGCGAGCCCTTGAACAGGGTTGTCGGGTTTTTTTATTGCCACATTGTTTGAGATATTACATCTTTTCCTAATTCAGGATAGGCCATAGACGTCTTAATCATAGAGATTAAGATGACTATGGATAGGCTTATTAGGCAGGTTTTTTTATTGAACATCATTATTCATTCTCAACAATTCAATAATATTATGATGTACCTAGGTATTATGTAACCAGTTATGCAATTATGATCTTTCTAATACTTTATTATTTTGTCTATGATTATGATCTAAGTTGTATTTATTATTTTATTATATGTCTCCCCAATTTGTTGTCAGAGTAAAGCCTATAATATGCTTTATCTAACTACACTCAATTGATTATTATAGTCGTTCTTGTAAAGCCATATTTCCAAAAAAATTATAACATCAAAAATTATAATTAAATTAGTTTATGTTCACTTACGCATAAAATATCTGGGATCGGTAAGTATTGTGTCAAATAAAAAATAAATTATATAACACTATTGTATTTATTAAACATAAAATTAGATATATTCAAAATTAATGCTGATTCTAATTTCTAATGGTACTGATGCCTCCATTTTTCTTCTTTTTCCCAGAAAGTCTGTTTCTCTTTATATAATTCGATCGTTTTGTTGCAAAGTTCTTCTTCACTTTCCAAATCTCCTCCCAGTTCCTTCGGAAGGCTGCTTTTGGGAAACAGTTCACTCGGATTCCAACCTTTTTGATGAATCTTCAGCTGGAATAATAAAAATATATTATTTTTCAGGAAATAATCATAAAATATTTAATATAATAAATGTTTATGAGAGAAACTATTCACACAATGTGAATATCGCTATTGAAGTAAGATCGAGTGAATAAAAAGGAATGGATGACGGAAGGGACCATGGATATGATGGAAGAAACAACATTCTGAGCAGGCTCTTGAATAATCTATATGACAGTGGCAAAAAACAATAAGATAACCATCTAAAAAAAACGAAGAAATCAGAAGAAGAATCATTGTGGCTGACGTCATCGAAAAAATATCCAGACTAAAATGAAGATGTGCAGGACATATAGCTAGAATGACAAGATGGATAATGGACAAAGCATCGAGGACAAAGAGATTATTATAATAGAGACCAAGGGAAGATAAGCGAAACGTGGGTCGTTTACTACCTACACAATGAACTGACGATTTAAGAAACCTAAATAAAACTGGATGAGGGCTGGTGGCGTAACAAACTCCGTCAAAAATTACTAAATGCGACTTGTGTAACAAAAACTTATAATTATGTGTTAGTGTATTGATGCACTGTTTATAACAACTGACATTTTTTATCTTTATTGGTATAGAATAAAATAGAACAAAAGTTAATAAATGATTACATTATTACATAATATTATTCTATAAGATGAACAACTTTCTTCGTGCACTACTGTCACCGAATATATTACAATTTTATTAATATCTATCTGATGGGCAACCTTATTTTCGATACTTATAAGCGCTAGAGAAGATAACCGTGCTTCTGATATTGTACTACGAAGATAAATGATTTTATTAATTTAAGTTTAGAAAAAGATCTCTCTGAACTAGCGGTCGTGACGGCTAAAGTTAAAAATAAGATGTATGCATGACACACTTATGGTATGCAAGCACTAGTACAATGATAATCTATGAGAATAATTTTGGCTGCACATATCAATAACAATGATTTTTCTTCAGTTTCGAAATATGACTATTTGCTGGGTGAAAACTACTTCGAATTTTCTTTGATTTATAATAAGAAATTTAATCTATACATTATTTGCATTTATAGATCACCTAGCTCTGATACTGAACTATTTTTTCAGAGCCTGCTAAATTTGTTAGATATTCTGCTCATTAAAAGCAGAAAAATTTTATGTGGTGATTTTAATATTGACTACGCTGCTGTTTGTGCGACCCAACTGTCTTTGGTAACTATTTTTGAATCATATGGTCTCACAATGCACGTTATTTCTCCAACAAGAATCTCAAAAACATCATCCTCGACAATTGATTATGTGGTTTCCGATTTTCCACCTGCTGACGTCCATTCTACAGTTATTAGTGGGGGGCTTTCTGATCATGAAGCGGTATATACCAAATTTAGCAGTTTACAAACACCTCACTCAAAAACCCGACGATTAGGTAGGATTTTTTCCACTCAAAACTTTCGTAAATTCTATAATTCATGCTTGACTTCTGACTGGAGTTTTTCTTCTGGGGACGTTGACTGTAATGTTAGTGATTTTCTAAATAGACTTGTATCTATTTTTAATAAAGCATTTCCTCTATTAAACATCAGGCCAAAACATAACAAACCTTGGATTACCAAAGGCATTCGCATATCTGCGAAAAATATGCGTTCTCTGCTATATATTAAAAAATTTAATGACAGTATCCCCATCTCTGATTATATCAACAAGTACAGAAAATGCTATATAAAACTACTCAAAGTAGCCAAAAAATCCTACTTTCATAATCGCTTAACAAGCTCCAAAAATATTTCAAGAGAAACTTGGTCAATAATAAACGATTTTCGAAATAAAACCAGTACAGCGGATCAAACCTTTTCTTTTCCTAACCCCGAAAATCTAAATGATTACTTTGTTAATGTGAGTAAAAATATAACCTCAACTATTTCGCCACAACAAGATCCAGTTTCCTATCTCTCTAATTCAAAAAACATTGCTGATACCTTCTTTTTAAGACCAGTTGATAAGACGGAACTCATTTCAACAATTCGTAGTATAAAAAGCACATCGTCCTGTAGTACAGATGGATTATCTATTAAAATTTTCTCAAATCTACCGCATAATGTTTTGGAGGTCATGGTCTCGCTAGTAAATGATTCCCTTGAAAAAGGTACATTCCCTAACTGCCTAAAGACTGCCATCGTCATTCCTCTTCATAAAGGTGGAGAAAAATCTGATGCCTGCAACTATAGACCTATTGCCTTGTTACCAGCACTATCAAAAATTATTGAAAGACTTATAAAAGCTCGACTCATGCCCTTTCTCCTTAAATATAATATTTTATCGCAAAATAAGTTCGGCTTTTTGTCTAATAAATGCACTAGTGATGCCATATTTTTTGTGTTACATGATGTATATCTATCACTAAACAGTAACCTCTCCTCCGCCACCGTTTTCTGCGACTATTCCAAAGCCTTTGACTGCGTAAATCACGACATTCTTTTAAAAAAATGAACTTTCTACGGAATTCGGGGTGTGTCTTTGAACTGGTTCAAAACTTATTTGGTAGGTAGGAAACAATTGGTTAGAATAAATGACACCGACTCTAGTTGTAAAGATATTGAGACTGGAGTACCGCAGGGTTCAGTATTAGGTCCCATTCTTCTTTTACTTTTCATTAATGACATCACTTACTTGAAAATTAAAGGGAAAATTTTTCTATTTGCTGATGATACCAGTATTACTTGGAGTAGCTCTGATATTTCAACGCTTCATTCAATTATAACCGCTGATTTACTTATAATCAAGGCTTGGTCAGACTCCAACTTACTTATCTTTAACGTGGATAAGACTGTAGCATTATCTTATAAAGGAGTCATGCAACCCTTGCTTTTGAATGAGAGCCAAATCAATATCGTAAATTCCGTGAAATTTCTAGGTATTCTCATTGACAGTGATCCCAAATGGTACTTGCATACTGACTCCTTAAGGAAGAAACTAGCCTCAGCTTGCTTTGCAATAAGATCTGTTTCGAAGGAACTAAATTTATCTTCTGCCAAAATGGCATTTTTCTCATTGTTCGAGTCCCATCTTCGATATGGGCTTCCATTTTGGGGTTCTAGTACAGCGGCCCAATTTGATACTATTTTTAAGTTGCAAAAAAGAGCAATCCGTTATCTATTTGGTCTCAAACAAACAACTCATTGCAAGACCTACTTCAAAAATCACGGAATTTTGACGCTTTCCTCTTTATTTATTTTGGAAACGGTTTGTTTGATTCGAAAGCATCTAAACATTTTTCCCGATAGACCTGACCATGGCTACTCCATTAGAAATTCGGATTGTAACGTTTATTTGCCGATCCCGTCCACTCAGCTAGTAAAGAATTCTATTCTATATCGTGCAAAGAAACTTTATAATCACCTTCCAAGAGAAATTAAATCCGCAACATCCTTCATTAAGTTTCGTAAGGTGACAAAAATCTATCTCTCAGAAAGACCATATTATTCAGTTGACGAGTTTCTTAATGTATAACAAAGAAACAAAATTAGTATTGTTTATAATTACATTTGGGTGTCTCAAGCAGTGGCTACAATTTGTCTCATTTGTTGTTGTCTGTACAAATTATGTAGGTTATACAATAATTTTACTAATTTAAAATTGTGTTATTCTGTTTTTTACTACCGTAAAACGAGGTGGCTTTAGGACAGCCAGGTGAATTTGTGACAGCATGTAGTACCCCCACTAAATCCAATACAAAGTCCATACTTACCGACTGAACGCGCCGCAGTTGTTTTCAATGGCCTTGTAAGGATTGTGTGTGTTGATTATTGGCCATATTAAAGCTTTTGAAACAAGTAACTGCATCGTGTGTGTAATTAAAATAAAAGTAAGTATTTTAGCATTTTTACTTTATTGGTATACTTTCATTTGTGGAGCTCTAACAGTTTCATGTAGCCAGAATTTAAGATATGTACAGAATGCGTTATAGTTTAGGTTATGTTGTCGTTCATAAATGACCTCAAAATTACCTCTGGTAAGCCAGTGGCGTCACCTTAAATACAATTTCGACAAAACATGAGATGACTTTGTGACACAATTTATTAACAGATTGACAAAAATGAGGTGAGATTGTGACACTGTTTTTTACGTTTTATTATTACTTTTTAGGAAAGTAGTCATGCCCCGAAAATACCAGAGGCTACCGGGAACTCGTCAATACAAAAATTATTCTGACGCCACGTTGCAAGAAGCTCTTCGCAGTATAAGAGCAAAAACACTTAGCATACGGGATGCTGCGGAAAGGTATGAATATGTCTTAACAAAAATGTTTTCCTAAAAATTACCTGTTAAACTTTTTAGATATGGAATTCACCGCAATACGCTCTTTCTCAAACTCCATAACCGACATAGCCGTCCTTCTGGTGGACAAACAGCTCTAGAGAGGGAAGAAGAAGAGTCAATTATTGCACACGTAATTGCTGTATCAACTTTTGGTTTCCCTGTGACAGCCCATGATCTGCGATGTATTGTAAAGACATACCTAGATAAGAGGGGCAAGAATGTAAAATGTTTCAAAGATAATTTTCCAGGAAAAGAATGGGTAACATCATTTCTGTCTAGACATAACGATATATTGGTTAATCGCGTTGCTAGAAACATAAGCCTTTCAAGAGCTTCAGTAGACCGTGAAACTATAAATAGTTTTTTCGATAATCTTGAAAGAGAGTTAGAGAATGTCCCTCCATCAAATCTCTGGAACTATGACGAAACGAATCTTGCTGACGATCCTGGTGCATCTAAAGTTATTATACGACGAGGGACAAAGTATCCTGAGCAAATACGCAACGCAACAAAGGCGTGCACTTCATTAATGGTAGCTGGAAATGCAGCTGGAAAAGTTGCACCAGTTTATGTCGTATACAAGTCTGAAAAACTGTGGCAAACTTGGACGGAGAATGGACCTGAAAATGCCAGGTACAACAGAAGCAGATCCGGCTGGTTTGATTACCAATGCTTCGAAGATTGGTTTGTCAACCTGATGCTGCCAATACTTAAAAGACAAGAAGGCAAAAAAGTACTGCTAGGTGACAATTTGAGTTCACATTTAAATATTGAAGTGATACGACAGTGTGAAAACAACAATATATCCTTTATAGCATTGCCTCCAAATACAACACACCTTTTGCAACCATTAGACGTTGCTTTCTTTCGGCCAATGAAAGGTAGGTGGAGAGCAATTCTACATGAATGGAAAGATACTGTGATTGGTAGCAGATGTGGAACAATACCAAAAGACCAATTTCCAAATTTGTTACAGAAATTGATGGTCGCCATGAATGACAGGGGAACTGAGATCCTTCCAGCTGGTTTTAGAAAATGTGGCATTCATCCGCTAAACCGTACAGAAGTGTTGAGTCGTATGCCAGAACAAATTATGAATCAACAAAGTGAGAATATAAAAAAGTCATTAGGTGACAGTTTTTTGGAACAACTCCAACGGAAAAGGGAGTCCACAACTGCACTACGTCAAGTCCAAAGACGTAAGAAAGTAAATGTACCTCCTGGACAGAGTATAAGTGCTGCTGATCTTGCCGCTAAACCGTTAAGTTCCAATTCATCACAACCAGACAAAGTAAATCGAAAGCGCAAAATAAAACCTGCTTCTGAACAAAATACTATAATCGACGACCTCCAATCAATGCCATCAACCTCAAAAGGATATCAAGGGAAGAGCTCTACAAAGAAGAAGCTCCAGCGGCATAAGACTTACTCTGAAACGAGCGAAGACTCAGATGCCCTTTCTTACAGGGAAAGTGATAATTCGCCTATTTGTGAGTTCGATAATAATTTATCCGAATCCAATTACGAAATGTTAGAACAAACCTCTTCCATTATGAAAAAAAAAGATGCCAACAAAATGTCGAAGAAAGTTGTCAACTCTGTGGGAGAAAAAGATGCCGCCGCTGTGGAAGAAGAATATGCCACGATTGTGGAAGAAGAAGAAGACACCACTGAGGGAGAGAAAGTTGTCGCCGCTGTGGAAGAAGAAGATACCACGAGTGTGGAAGAAGAAAATGCGATCACTGTGGGAGAGAAAGATGCCACCGTTGTGGCAAAGGAAGAAGTAGATAAGCCAAATATAGGGGAATACGTCATTATCCAGTACGAGGGGTCTCAGTTTCCAGGAGTGGTCACTGGAGTGGAAAAGCAAGGTGTGAATGTCAGTGCCATGGAGAAATGTGGAAGATTTTGGAAGTGGCCAGACCGGGAAGACCAGCTTATGTACGAATTTGCTGATGTAATACAAGCCAAAATAAATGCACCCGTCCAAATTTCTCGAAGAGCAATTTTTCAAGTGCCTGAGATGGACATTTATGTGAATAATTACAACTACTGATTCAAAATAATTTATCTAACTTCTTTTATGTATCATTTGTGGATAATAACGTTTGTTTTTATTATTAATAAAGCTTTCTGGTTCAATTGTTGGGGTGATTTTATGACAGACCAATTACATATGCTCACATGTGTATGGGCGGCTTTGTGACAGATCTAATATTCAGATCATAATTACAGGCGATTTCTGTTACAATTCCGACCCGTTAAAACGACGACTTTAGACTTGTATGCAGAATTTACGTTGTCACAAAGTCGCCCCAATGAGAGGGGCGAAATTGTGACAAATATTTTTGTAAATTGCTGTATTTTTTGTAAATTTTTCCCAGTAATATACATCTAATTTAGAAGTTAAAAGTTATAAGTTTCTTCAGGAAATTTTGGAATATAATCATTCCATCAAAAACATCTTAAAATTGACAAAAACTGCTGAATCTGTCACAAAGTGACCTCGTTTTACGGTATATTTGTTTTTGTTTTATACTTTTTGTACTATTTGACTGATTTATTTTTTAGCTTTGTCCATAAAATTGTTCAATAATTTTCAGTGACAATAAAGCATATTTCTATTCTATTCTATTCTATCATAATAATTAGAGTTTGCCGATTCCAATTATGTTCTTATTGATTTTCTAACAAATTGCAGTTGCTCCAAAAACGCATTAGGTACTTATATCTGACGGGTACGCAACAACTAATTTACTGGCTTCGGCAAAAAATTCTGGATCAAACTTTTCAAATATTTCAATACCTAGCCACGTACAAAGCATTATAGTTTATAGTCGTCATCTTAAAAGGTAGGGACACCGGAAAGGATTAAGTTTATATTTATGGTAGTAGCAGATATGATATGATAGTTGTCGAAATTCCGAATATGCCTATTTAAAAATTTGCATTCTTAAATTTAAACTTACAGATTTATGTTAGTTAATGTTTTTATGTTTATGTCTTTAAGATTTCCGCATAAAAAACGTTGCGGCTGCATGCTTAAAATAATATAAAATAAAAACACATTTTTACATATATTAGACGATGGGGGCCCTGACATATTGAGGCCCTCCCGCAAGCTTTATGCCGCGGGGGCCTGTGTTACGCCTCTGATGAGGGCGGCGCAAGAGTATGATAACTCGAGGAAGAGGCATATGTTCAGCAATGGACTTTCGAGACTGAATTATGATAAATCTAATCAATCTTATCACTAAAGCCTTCACCAAACATAATTTACAGCAAATATGGAGCGCAGAACCATATAAATTCGACATTTTGTGAAGAGATATAAAACCAAAATTATCCATACCAAATTAAACAATTCGGGTTTGAGGAATGCCTTTACAAGAAGCATCGCCTTGTCCAAAAAATAGTTTCCATTGATAAAATGAACTCCTTTAAATTGAACCGGAACACCTTCTCCGAGGTAATGCATGTATTTTCTGATTGGATCTGGCCTTAGTTTGAAAACATGCATAAATCCGAACTGAAAAGTAAAAATAAATTATTAGGAAATATAAAATAGCTGTAACTGTGTATATTTTGAAATTATAGACACTAAATTCCAAGAAATGGTGATGACCATTCTTGATGAGTTATTCTTGGTTTTCCAGTGGCATACAAAAAAATTGATGTTACAGTAAGAAGTAACGCATTCTTGTATTGAAGAATTTTTATTAATAATATGTAGAAAGTACTATTTTCTCCCTAACGCTAAGAAATTTCTAAACAAATATGGTGAATCGGCCATAATGCAACTGAATAATTTAGACATCGGGATATATGGAAGCCATTGAATTTCTACCCCATTTTCCCTCGCATAATCAATTACGTTTAGATTTTTCGTATGTGATGAATGGCCATCTAGCAGAAGCAGAACTGGTGAATACTTTGAAGCTCCAGAATACTCGAAAAACTTCTTAAACCATGAAATAACAATGGCCCATCTATCCAACCTTTTTCCAACGGCAGATAAGAAGAAAATGCCAGGTCACATACCAAGATACACAAGATAGATTAACTCTACTACTTTGTGCCGATGCGAGTGGCAACTGTAAAATCAAACCTCTTCCAGTGTGGCATTCAGAAAATCCCAGAGCCTTTAAGTCACATAAGATTTTACAAGAAAAACTTGTAAGGCAAATCCAAAGGCGTGGATCACCAGGAAGTTCTTTGTGAAGTGAATAAACTTGGTGTTTGCCCCTTCTGTTAAAAAATATCTACAGTAAAACAACCTATCCATGCAAATCATTCTTGTCCTCGATAATGCCCCTTCACACCCACCAAATCTCAAAGATGATTTACTCCAAGAGTTCAAGTTTATAAAGATTCTCTACCTACCAGCCAACACTACTCCTATCTTGCAGTCCATGGATCAGCAAGTGATTTCTAATTTTAAAAAGTTGTATACCAAGCATATTGCATATCAAGCAAAAATTATGCGCTTCCGTAAGCACTTCATTTTTTCTTATGTTTTTACAGAATATAAAAACACTTAACAGAAACAACTAACGTGTTTCTTTGCGGACTAGAACGGATTAATGACATTTCAGTTAATTTTAATGGGGAAATTGCTTTGTTATGGAACGAATTACACTCGAAGTATATCGAGGTACCACAGTGTACATATATATGTATATATATATATATATATATATATATATATATATATATATATCATCTTTGGCTCTACAACCCTGTGTGGGTCTTGGCCTGTTCAAGAATTAGTCTCCATTCCCCACTATCTTTAGCCCTGGCTTTCCAATTTCTGACCCCTAGATTCCTCAAGTCATCTTCGACTTAAGTTTTAAATCTAAATCTTGGCCTGCCTCTCTTCGTGGTTCCTACTGGCTCTTGATATAATATCTGTCTTTGGGGGTCTTCAGTGCCCATTCTTTCAAGGTGTCCTAGCCAACTGTTTATTAATTTTAATAGACCGGACGATGTTGCATTGATATAATTCAAAATTGTAGTGCCTGCGCCATAACCCACTTTTTTGTACTCCTCCGTATATGTGCCTAAGTATTCTTCTTTCAAGGCAGCCTAACAGTTCTTAATCGCTTTTTACTATAGTCCATGTCTCTGACGCGTATGTCAGGACAGGTTTAATAAGAGTTTCATATATTAGTATCTTGATTTTTCTGCTAATTATGTGTGATGTTAAGAACTGCTTTAGTCCAAAGTAAGTTATGTTCGCCAGGTATATTCTTCTCTTAATTTCTATGCTTACTAGGTTGCTATTATTTAGTTGTGTTCCAAGATATATAAACTTCGAGACCCCTTCGAATGTATGTACTTCTGTCACCAGATCTTGTGGTGCCGTTATTTGTGTGCTGTTCGTGACCTTCATGTATTTTATTTTGGATACGTTGACCTGCAGTCCCATTGTCTTCGTGGCTTTTTCTAATGTTTCAAATGCCTGTATCAGGTCTCTTTTTGTCCATGTTACTATGTCAATGTCATCTGCGTAGGCCGATATCTGTACACTTATATTGATGATCGTACCTCTGGTTGTTATGCCCGATTTCTCCATGGCTCTTTCTAGCGCGATGTTAAATAATAGGCACGACAAACTGTCTCCCTTGTGTAATCCAGTTTGTGTTTGAAAAGACCTTGACACTCTGTTTTGTAACCTTGACTTTGCACTCAAGTTTCGAAAGAGTTGCATTTACCAATGTTATTAGATGCGACGGAATATCTAGTTCTGCCATGGCATTATAAAGCGCGCTTCTATCTACACTGTCATAAGCGCTTTTAAAATCTATGAAGAGGTGGTTGGTATCAATTCCATATTTACATGCGTTTTCTAAGGTTTGTCTGAGAAGGAAAATCTGATCAATTGTTGACCTTTGTTTTCGGACTCCACAATGGTATTCGCCTATTTTTTTCCTCAGCATATACTAGTAAACGATCATAAAGTATAAGCGAGTACTTTGTAAGCCGTATTTAAGAGGGTAATGCCTCGATAGTTGTCACATATTAGTGGATCCCCTTTCTTGTGAATAGGTATTATAATACCTATATTCCAACCGTCTAGGAGTTTTCCTTCTCTCCAAATAGATGCAACAAGTTTTATTATGTATTTTTTTAGCGCGTTTGCTCCATACTTGAACAGCTCAGGGGGTATACCATCTTCTCCAGGGCATTTGTTGCTTTTTAACCTTTTTATTGCCTTGGAAACTTCTTTTTTTATTGGTATATTATTTTTCTCTCTCTCATCGTCTACGTCTCCACTGTGGTCATTTATGTCAGTCACTTCTTACTAAATTTAACTTATATGTTTGTAAAAATATCCAAATTTTGAACTGTCAACATATCTATTTGTAATAGCTACATAACTACGATAATGTTATTTATATCTAAATAAGCAATGTAATAAACAGAAATGATTTTAATTTTAGTTTAGAAATGTTTTTAATGATGTAAATCTTATGGTGATGATTAATAACCTATAGAGGGCGCTACTTGTTCAGCTACACGGAGCGAATACAATTAAAATCTCGTATGATCAACATACACCACAATGAAAATATTAAAATTTAATCGTTACTGTAAATTACAATTGTTAATTGTAATTTATTCGTTATAATTTTCCTAATAAAAGTTTTTTGAAAATTATTAGTTACTTATTTTAAGTGACGTGTTAATTTTGTGCAGGAATTTGTTTTTACCCCTTTCATATCAGCTAGATAAATGGCACCAGCAGGAGGATTATCGTCATGTTCAACATCTAGGAGCATGTAGGTTGCTTTCAAAATAGGTACCAGATCGAAGTTTCTAAAATCTGAGTCCCGCAAACTCAGATATAAAATTTGATAGTTTTCAGCGGTTCTGCCGGGCAAACTGATCATTCTACTGAAAAGCATAAAAAATATTTAAATTAGCAGGGTAATCAAAAATATTTGAAATTTTTTTAAAAAAATTTCTTTAAAAAATTTACAAACCACATATTATGTAGAGCCGAATCTGTAACGCAGAAGTAGTATACATTACTGATGATTTGATGAACAAGAATCTCGTGAAACGGGCGGATCTTCTAGTGCGCAGAGAGAGAAAGTATTCGGCCAGAAAAGGATGTAATTTACCCCAACATTACTATCATTGTATAACCCGACAAGCGAGAGCTGGCGGGTTGCGCGTAGAACAAATTGAAAAGTGGAAGGGATTGCTCATTTCTATTGCAGTCGTCTAGGAGTTCACATCGTGTATAACCGTTTAAGTACCTATACTATATACCTATAATCGCGATTAAGTACCTCTCCTATCTCTCTTAGAATAATTCCTTTTCTATTTTTGCGCAGCTCACCCGCCAGCACTCGCTTGTCGGATTATACGGCTTGATAATCACTTGGTAGATATTAAAAATTTTACAAAGTTGTCAATATGTGGATGATTACAGTAATATTGCGTATTTTTAGTTTGATATCTGAAAAAATGAGTTTTACATAATTTAGACAACAATTTAATGACTAAAAGGAGAAGAGAATGATTTCTGGTGAGGTATGGTATACAGTGTGTCCCAAAAAATTATATACAAATGAAGAAAAGTTTATCTTACATTTTCCAAAAAGAACTATTTTTGATAAAAAGCTCTGCTTAAAAGAAAAACAAAGATAATGAGTTGATTAAAATATAATATTTACCAAACAATAGATAATTATGATACGTTTTTATTATAACTGTTTTATTAGTTTTTATTATATCATATATATCATATTTTAAATAACATTCATTTATTTATTTTATTAAAAATTAAAATTATTAATTAATTATTAATTATTATTAATTAATTAAAAATTAAAGAGATCCTCGGTATCTCATTCTTCTTTATCAGAAAAATCTCATTCCGAATCACTGTCTCTTAAAGTTATGACGATTTTTTCCATGTTATTTTCCTTTGTTGCTAGTTGAACCAAAAATTCTTCCTCGCATTTTTTTTGCATGGTTGAGCAAAGAATTGTTCTCATAAGTTCTCATTATCGATATTAAATGTAATATTTTTTGATGCAACATACGATTTTGGTTACTGGCCCAGACCAGCTCAATTGGATTAAGATCTTGGGTGATATGGAGGTAATCTTAAAATTGTATGTCCATGTTTTATTGCGATCTGGTCTATTACATAACGAACAACGGTATACTACAAATAAGCTATAGTCTCGAGTTTACCACTCCTGATGATATTAGAATATTATGTATGCATAAAAATCATTTTTATTTTACAGTGAACTTACGTAACAAGTTCCGAAAGGGATATTTTACGAGATGAGCAGGAAGTTTCCAGGACCAGCCGTAGGCGAGTCCTGGAATCCTGCGAGTTAGTATGTCCTGGCAGCAGTATGAATTGTACTATTTATGGTTGAAAATTGCTACGTTTGAAGAAAAAATAGTATACTTTATTCGGCAAAGAAGCGACTTTTCTTGACTTGCCCTCTATTACGGGCGCGTCAAGAAAAGTCATGCTTCTCCGCCTCATAAAGTAATATACTATTTTCTTCAAACGTCAAATAATGATGATATTACTTATCTAACTTGATCCTGTCAAAGTTTGATGTCTCCGCCGGCAGCAGTTTTTTTCCCCATTTCTTTACGGCGGAGGGAAAAATGTTGTCATGGCAACAATATGAAACATGTCACAAAGCAACAATACAAATGTCATTAACAACAATTAAACATCATTTTTATTTATAGTAATATTAAAAGTACAAATAGTTAATGAGGCATTTTCAAAATTGATACCGTGCAAAAATGTTCCCGGCTCTTGATACGCATTGGTAATTGTTGATGATACTGATGGTCGAGAACAACTTTCAGCAATCATTCCCGATGTTGGCGAATCATGAAGGTTTAAAATTTTTTGAGCATTATCGATCTTATTTCTTATTGAATCTTCTATATATCCTTCGGCAACCGTGCTTGATAGCCAGCCCCCATGTCGTTTGAGGCATTCTAGATTTCCGCCTCCATCAATTAAAAGTGTTGCTGAAGTTCGTCGTAAAAAGTGACCCATGTATGCGCTTGCATCGTTTAAATTTAAATAACTAGCTACTTTTTGGGTTACTGCGTTGATCGAATGTATTCCCATGACGCTTCGGTAACACTTTCCATTTTGGTACTTGATAAAAAATCGGTTTTCTGTGAAATTTTCAGGCCGCAGTGATGCATACTTTTTATACAGTTTAATGTAGTTTTGACCAATTATCGTAAAATATCTAATTTGTCGTGTTTTACTGTCTGGGATTTTGATAATTATTTCATTTTCTTTATCCTCAATGTCCACAGTCTTCATTTTTACCATTTCGTCGCATCGAGAGGCGCCGGTAACCCCAATTAACAAAACAATCTGAAATATTTTTATAATTTAGTAGAGTATACTACATGCTTTGCAATATAATTTTTTTTACCTTTAATCCCAAATTCAACTTATCTGGCACTTCAAACAAAAATTTATCAAACTCGCCTTTAGTGCAAACTTTAGACTTCTTTGCAGTATATTCTTCGCTTGTTTTTTTCAGAAAGGCACGTAACTTTAAAAATTTGCTCATATCCACATGTTTTCTAATAACTAACTCGGATTTTATCATAGAGTATCGTGACCACATTGTAGAAGATTTCCATTTATTTTCATTTTCCATTATATTAGAATATACCAGTAAAACGTCTTCGGTAACTTGACGTACTCCTCTTATATCGCACCGCTCTTGGAAGTGTTTGTACGCTAACCGATACTTTATTCCGGACTTAGAGGGCCCCAAACGTGCTACTGCATCATTAGCCGCGGACTCAATTTCATTTAGGTTTTCCATTTTCGCACTAAATTTGCGCTTGCAGTTGCAACAACAATAAGCTGTCTTTAATAATTGCAAACAACTGTCAAACAACTGTAACCAGGGAGACGCAAATCCCACCGACGCGACTACTTAATTATTTTAATTTCTAACATCTAGACGACTTTGATAGTTGTCACAGTTAATTCCGAGTAAAAATAGTGTATGAATTGTACTATTTATGGTTGAAAATTGCTACGTTTGAAGAAAAAATAGTATACTTTATTCGGCAAAGAAGCGACTTTTCTTGACTTGCCCTCTATTACGGGCGCGTCAAGAAAAGTCATGCTTCTCCGCCTCATAAAGTAATATACTATTATTGCAAATCTTTGTCCATTGGTCAGACATTTTTTATTATGGACAGTTTTTGTAATTTGTAAATAAACATTTTAGGTTAGGATAAACCAGTGAAATACGACGTATGATATATATTATTAAAATTAGTAGTACTTTTTGCGGATAGATGGTGCTGGGGTTTTCATTGCGGAAAGACAGACAGAATAAGCACATTATAATATTGATTACAGAGTAGAAAACAAACCGGGTACTTACTAGGTTTTAAACGCCTTCTGAATATCATCTCTATACATATCTCTACCGTCAAATATTTCTGGAGCTTCTTTCTTCATTTTGAAGTGAGCGATGATAGTCCCCTTCGTTCGTTCTGTGTTATTGTCACAAGATAACAGAAATAATATTATTAACTCTTCTTGGATTTGTAGAGGTACATATTTTGGTTTCGTCGTTTCTAACCAATCTTTTATTAAATCGATATTTTCTCTGGTAGTTCGTTTCTTTAAAATCATATCCTCGGCGTTAAATTTGAAATTGAACTCCATTGTTTAAATTAAGACCTAAAACAGGTAGTAACTACGTTATTTACGTTATCAATGATAAATTTGATTGTTTTTCTAACAATAAAACACTGAAAACTTTTATTTCAAATACGTCCACAAAATTTATCATAATTTATTATCACTACAGCTGTTTTGGCAGAGTGTCTTTCTTAAATGACGTATTTTTACTATGCATTTATAGTTTATAGCTGAATAATCTGAGTAAGGGAGAGCTTTTTGTCTCAAGTTGGTCATTCACAATTATATCTGTATTTTTTAATTTATAAATTTCCATGGATTCCAATAAAGATAGTTTAAGGCCATTATTTTGAGTATGGAGTATTGAATAAAAGAATGATTATCATCTAGAAGATTAAGTGCGTACATAGAATCTGTTTTTCTATTATTGAAAGCGCTTTTGTGTTTCGTAATATGTTTGCTAATGATTCTACCAGTTTGACCGATATATGTTATAGGGCAGTTACCGCATGTAAGTTTATATATACCACTGTGTAAGTGCTTTTTCTTTTGTCTCTTGTTGTTCTTAATATATTTACTTAAGTTGTTATTTTGGTGGCTATTTTTGATAATAGCTTGATCGTATACATAATCGAGCAGAAGGTACTGAGTTTTTCTCTGGTGAAATCCTTTTATTGACTTATTTATCAAATGACAAGTCAAACACATTAAGAAACAGCTTAGGAACCATCTTTTGTTCAAAAAGCAACGAGGAAAGCCTGAGGAACGAGGAAGCTCGTTTTTTGGCCTGACCAGTAAAGATTTACGAAAACTTGTATACGAAGTATATAAAAGAAACAATATTAGCCACAGTTTTAATAAGGAAACCAAGATGGCAGGCTGGAAATGGGTCAGAGGCTTTTTAAAGCAAAATTCCCGAATATTATTACAAACTTTAGAAAATACTTCGTTGGCAAGGGCTCAAGCTTTTAATATACCAAATATATGTGCCTATTTTACAGCATTAGCACATATATTAGACGAGTTTCAATTTCCACCGGAAAACATTTATAACATGGACGAGTCCGGTTTGACAACTGTGCAAAAGAGATCGCAGAAGATTTATGCTAGTAAAGGTCGCAAACAAGTTGGTGCTTTAAGTAGTGCAGAGCTCGGTCTACATGTTACGGTCATATGTGCAGTGAATGCAATTGGAACTTATGTTCCTCCTGCTTTGATTTTTCCTCGACAAAGAAAGAAAGACGAACTTATGATCGCTGCACCTACTGGAAGTGTAGCCTTCGCTCCAGAAAAAGGATGGATGACTTCCGACAAATTTCTATCTCTGGCTGCACTAACATTTTTTAAGGTATTTAAAGGCTTCTAAAACCAACCAAGTTGTGTTGTTACTCGATGGTCATGGTAATCATAAAAGTTTTGAAGATCTCCAGTTTGCAAAAGAAAACGGTATGTGAAACCTGGATAATTCGAATCGCAGAGGACCGTTAAAAAAATTCGAATTATCTAAATTCGAATTACCCAAATATTCGTATTAAAAATATATCTACAAAAAAACAGTGATACTACAAAAGCTTCTGCAAACGATAAAAATTGTTTGCACACTTTTGCAGATGTTTTAGTTCCTATTCTTGCCCGAATTTTGTCAACCGAAAAAAAAATGGGAAAACAAAATTCGGCTAAGAATACCAATTAAAACATTTGCAAGATATAAAAATGGTTAATTATGGTCATTATGACAGGTGTTCTCATTGGTATTTTCGGCCAATCTCCGTCAATATGTTTTCAACCAAAAAAGTCTGCTAAAATTTTTAAGATTTTTTATGATTTTACGGCTTCAAATTTAATTATGGCTGCGACAGAATCCAGGTAAAACAGTTTTCCAATTTAAAGTAGCCAGTATCTTTAATAGAGCATATTTAAAAAGTTCAATCCAGATGTCCTCGAGGATTGGCAATTTTTGCTGTCTATATTCGTCATCGTCAGTCCTAAACATCTCGGTCGAAGATATTTGACCTCCTCCTTTGGCTAGAGCATCTGAAGTAACTCAGAAAAGGGGTAGAAAACGGGGTAAGACAGGATATTTAAAATCAACGCCAGAAATTGATGATATAAATTAAATTGCAGAAAAAGAAGCAAAAAAAACAGAAAACAAGACGCAAAGAAAAGTGAAAAGGCAAGTTCATCAAAACAATAGTTTTTTGGCTTTCCTCAGGCCAAAAAACTATTGTTTTTTGTCATTTAAATCTCATTTCATGGTTTTTCAGCTGTGAACAGGCTTCTGACATTCCAAGGATCATCTCAAAATCAATTTTCTCATCTGGTGGTTTTCTTCTCAAGGTTTTTGTACGCTTCCGGCCTAAGAGATCTTGCGCTGATATGTTTTTTTTTTTCTCCTGGTCAATCTATTGGTGATATTTTAAACAATCTTTTCTCATTGCCTTCTATGTCCTAATTATATCGTTAGTTATGGTGTTAACTCGTTAATCAGTAGGTGAGGGATTGCTTATACGCGCAATCAGTTTGTCATCTAATTTAAGCGATCCAGATTTATATTCTTCTTTCATAATCTCTGTTCTCAATTTCTGCAGACATTTAGAAGACCTATCGAGTTTATTCTTCCAAATTAAGGTAACTGACCCTATAATTAACACTGTCCGTATATTTGACAGGTTTTATCAATAAAGCTAAAAATTAAGAAAATGGATCCGCAATTCAGTAGATTTGTGGTAGTAACGCCATCTTTCATTTGTTCTGAAATCAATCACCCCGACTTTCTTACTCAGTTGGTAAAAAACGCGCCAAAACAACAGTTGTAATGTTCATGCACACGGTGCAATAGCGTCTCTTGTGTTTTGATGTGGTGAATAAATTAAGGTGAGTGAAAATCAAGTTACTTTTCAAATGTGTTCTACAATGTTGCTACTGTTGCAAGGAAGGTTTTGTTGCTTGATATAACATTTATAGAGTCTAAAAATCAATTTTTCATTAAAAATGCTCTAAAATTTCTAAAATGCTCTAAATATGTCAGCTATTTTTTAGGGTGTCAAATTTTAGGACATCTTCTGGTAAAGTGATATAAATTTGACATGTAGGTGTCAAATTTAGGGACACCCAACTACAGAAATTGCGTATAGTTATCCTTTTTTGGTATATTTCATTACCAATGTTTTAAAAACCTAAATCTGACACCCCAGTCAAATTTAAGATCAAGGGGTGTCAAAAATAGGTACACGAAAGTTGCTTTATGAAAAATTGAATTAATTTAGCATTATTTTGTTAATAAGTAAGGATAACTAAGATAACTCTTATTTTTAGATGCCTAACAAGGGAAATATTTATAGAAAATATTCTCAGGAGGATCTGAGTAGAGCTGTAGAAGCCTGTAAAAATTGAATGTCTTGTGCTTCAGCAGCTAAACAATTTAATGTGCCACGTATCACTTTGATGTACAAAGTGTCAGGAAAATTTCCTATGAGATGCAAAAGTGGAGTAAGCACTGTATTAACTGAAGGCGAAGAAAGTCTATTAAAGGATTGGATAATAAATGTTGCTAAAACCGGTTTTCCCGTAACAAAAGACCAACTATTAGACAGTGTTGCCTTGCTTGTGAAAAGATTGAAGAGGCCTAATAATTTTACAAATGGTAGACCTAGTAGACATTGGTTTGAAGGATTTTTGCAGCGACATCCGGAATTAAGTCAACGAATGACCCAAAACCTAACAAGCTCTAGGTCTGCTGTCTCGGAAACAAATATCCGAAAGTGGTTTGAGGAAATCAATGAATATTTTGTTGCAAATAACATTGAAATCACCAATCCCAGACAAGGAATGTATCACTACACTAATAACAGGTAAAGTATCTTAAATAATAGGTAACACTTTTCTCTACTAAATTTTCATGTTTTTTAGGCAATGCTGCAGGTGAAGTAGCTCCGCCGATGATAATGCTTAGCTATGAACGGATCCCTAAGAATATAATATTAAAGTGCCCACAACCCGACTGGGCAATAGGACGCTCGGACTCTGGCTGGATGACAGCTGAGAGTTTCTTTGAATTCATTTCCAATAATTTTTACAACTGGTTGTTAAAAAATGACGTCCCATTTCCAGTTGTTCTATTTGTTGATGGGCATAAGTCCCACTTAACCTACAATTTATGTGCCTTTTGTTCCGAAAAGAATATCATACTGATAAGACTTCTGTCTAACGCCACTCACATTTTACAACCTATGGATGTGGGCGTTTTTCATCCATTAAAAAGTGGGTGGCAAAATGAAGTTCATGCTTGGAGACTAGAAAATAAAAAACAAACCCTTAAAAAAGAAGATTTTGCGCCAATGCTTAATAAAGTTTTGCAGAAAGTTCTTGGTTCTGGACAAGAGAAAATACTGAAAAATGCGTTTAGGAAATGTGGATTATATCCATTCGACGTTAATAGTGTCGATGTCTCAAAAGTGTTGAGAAATGAAATTGCATCAACTCTCTCAGATGTACAAGATACATGCCACTTGAAATCAAATAAAGTTGTTAAAGATGATTTAATAGGTGCTTTAAGGGTCATAGAATCTTTTCTAGACAAAAATCTACTTGAGAGTTTTCGAGCTAAGGTGAAATTGGCTAAATGGAATGGAAAAGTAGAAGATACAAACTTATTTTTTCTTTGGAAGAATCTGAATGAAAAAGTACAAGCAAACAAGCACCCTGAAGGAGAGGTCTCGAAGGATATAATAATAGAGGTTGCACATGATGTTTTGTTGGAGGACATAAATTGGGAAGATGTAGATATTGAAACAGAGGAACAAGAAATTTTAGATAACGGAGAAAATGAAGCAGTCATCAAGGAAAGTGGAGAGGCAAATGTAACAACATTAGATGAAGAAGATACTATTATTTTAGATCCTAGTAAGAAAGGTGAAGAACAAGCACCACACTATGAGACTATCGTTAGTATAGATAGTGTGATAGAGGGAGAAGATGTAGTTTTGGAAAACGGTAGCAAATATGTGGAGCAAACGAATAATGAGAATGTAACCAAAATAATAG